CATTCAATTATTATGGCCATAACTTCAAAATGGGAACTTAGTATCACTGGTTCTTAATTCACAAGTCTAAAAATATTTCCCTAAAATAAAAATTTGAATGAAAATTAGTAATATAGTAATATTTGAATATTTAAAAAGCATAAAGTAGGATAAGTATTACATAATTCCACTTATTTGAGGTCCCTAGAGTAGTCAAATTCCTAGAGACAGACAGTAGAATAGTGGTTGCCAGAGGTTGTGGGAAGGAGAAATGGAGAATTATTGTTTAATGATTAGTATCCATTTGGGAAGATGAAAAGGCTCCTGGAGATGGATGGTAGTGATGGTTGCACAACATGAATGTAACTGTACATGTTGAAGTGGTAAACTTTATGAAATATATATCTTTTAAAATTTTTTTAGTTGCAGATGGACACAATACCTTGATTTTATTTATTTTTATGTGGTGCCGAGAATCAAACCCAGTGCTTCACACATACTAAGAAAGCACTACACTACTGAGCCACAACCCAGCCCCTAAAAAATATATTTATACACTCAACATATACATATAAGACTACAAATAAAAGCAATAAATAAGTGGGCTACAGGTTGGGTGGGCCAGTTTATAGCTAATGTGACTCTGGATAAGCCACAAGACTTACTTCTGCTTCAAATGCTTTATGGAAGACAGGAACGAAGCCATACTATAAATTTCATAAGGCTATTGTGGTTATGAAATAAGATCACATAGTTCACACACCATGAAATCTATGGAAATAATATACAAGTAACATGAGTTCATGTTTATCTTTTTTGAACCATACATGCACCCACCTTCCAAATAGCCTTTCAATTATTATGTTAAAGAGAAAGTTCAAAACTAATTCTGGAATAAAAACACATACACACCGAAGGAAATAGAAAAATGTACGTATCCGAGTGCTATTACCCATGGATGCTGTCCGTGTAAAACTAATTAAAACAAATAAAATTTACAAACAAACAAACAAACAAAAAAACACCCATGGATGTTAGTGTAAAAAATGTCCCCTTCCATCAAGTTTTCTTTCTCTGAGAGAATAAAAGGTCAGAGATTCTCTAACTTGACCAAAAAGTGTTTTCTCTCTCTCTCTTTCTCTCTCTCTCTCTCTCACACACACAGGAAGGAAGGAAGGAAGGAAGGAAGGAAGGAAGGAAGGAAGGAAGGAAGGAAGGAAGGAAATAAATTACAGTCGCCTGGAGCCAAATATGGAAAATAGAATGAATGACCATCAAGTTAGTAATTTTTTTGGCATTAAATTCCAAGTTAGCTATTAAATGCATTTTTAAAATTAGGAAATACAATATATGAATTAAAGGAGAAAAGAAAATATACAGGAGCAGCCAAAAAGGAAATAGTTACATTTTTTTAAAAAACAAACTTATGACATTGTATATGTAAAGTAAGATGAAACTTCTCCAGAAAAATATAAACTACAGGGAGTCCTTCAAGAAGAAATAAAAGTCCTCAATAAAATCACTACTAAAAACTTTCACACTTCCCCTATTCCTCAAAGACAGCAGAACAGTTGGACAGTTTTATAGGAGAATGTGCCAAATCTTTATATAAAAATTAGAAAAACAGCATGACAAAGATCTGTCCTTATTTGCAGACAAGATTTCTACAAAGAATATCTAAGAGAATCGATATATAATTGGAACTAATAAAAAAATTCAGCAACGATGTTCAATATAAGGTAAACATAGAAAAGCAACCAGTGGCATCCTTGCACACCAGCAATAACCAATTTGAAAAATGTAATAAGTGTTATAATTGTAACAATAAAGTTTTCAGGAACAAATGAAGGAAGGAGAATATAAATAAAAAGATATTAATATTCAGTACTTCAAAGCAATTTTCCCAATTCATTTATAAAAACAATTTTAATCAAAATCATTTTTTTTCCATAGAAAATTCACCTAGAAAAGAGGCTAGGGTTGTGGCTCGGCGGTAGAGCACTCGACCAGCACATGCGAGGCCTGGGTTTGATCCTTAGCACCACATATAAATAAATAAATTAAATAAAGGTATTGTATCAACTACAACTAAAAAATATTTTTAAAAGAAATTCACCTAGAAGAGAAAAGTGCCAAGAGCAACTAAAATAATTTTGAAGAATAGAGTAGGGAAAATGTAGAATCAAAACACTGTTAAACAAATAGACCAATGGAACAAAAGCACCTTAAAAACGAAACTGTAGCTGACAGAGGTTGTGCTGTAATTCAAATGGGTTATCTGACAAACTGTGCAGAAGGCATACTGCTTATTTATGTGAAAAAAATAAAATTATGTTCCTTATAACAGAGACAAAAATAAACATAAAGGGATTAGAGAAATGTATAAAAAATTGTAAAAACTGTTAGAAAAAACATGGCAGAACTTTTATGACTTTAAAGGCAGGATTTTAAAATAATTTTTAAAACACAAAAGACCAAAGAAAGAACAAAAAAAGTGAAAAGACAAACTAGAGAGCAGTAGAAGAGATGTGCAATGCAAATAACTGACAAAGACTACCAAGAATATTTATACAACAAAAGGCAATAAACCTTTGGGCTGGGGATGTGGCTCAAGCGGTATGGCACTCGCCTGGCCTGCGTGCGGCCGGGTTCGATCCTCAGCACCACATACAAACAGAGATGTTGTGTCCGCCGAGAACTAAAAAAATAAATATGAAAAAATTCACTCTCTCTCTTAAAAAAAAAAAGGCAATAAACTTAACAGAGCAGTGGCAGATTACAACAGAAATCCCAAATGGCCAAAAAATATACAAAAACACACTTACTCTTATTACTGAAAAGGGAAATGAAAATTGCTAAACCACTGAGATATCATTTCAAAGGCTGGCAAAAACTTTAAAGCATGAGAACACCAGGATGAGGAGAAGAGAGAAGTTCAAACTCCTGGTGAGAAAAATAAATGAAGTAACCACTTGAATTGAAGATGCTTATATCTTACAATGCAACGATTCCACTTTTGTTTTTTGGGTTTTTTAAAAAATATATTTTTAGTTGTAGATGGATACAATACCTTTATTTATTTCTTTTCATGTGGTGCTGAGGATCGAACCCAGTGCGACACACATTCCAGGCAAGCGCTCTACCACTAAGCCACAACACCAGCCCAACAATTCCACTTTTGGTAAACACATTGAAACTTTTACTCATGTGCAGGATAGACAGGTATAATAAGAATTTTGCTGCAAAATGGTTTATAAGAGCAGAAAAATTAAGAAATTGTATATCCATCAATAGAAAAATGAGTAAATTGCAATAGAAAAATGAGTAAATAGAAGAGCACACCACTGCAGTTAAAAATGAACAAATGAGCAGTACACATACTGATGTATAGTCTCAAAAACATAAACTTGAGTGAAAAAAGCAAGCTACAGAATGATCCCACTTTACATGTATTTTTAAAACTCGCAAAACAGCAAGTTTTATGAACATAAACATTCAGTAAGGACATAAAAATATTTGGGAGAATGATAAATATCCTATTTATGAGAAGGGTTACCATAAACAGGGCATAAACAGGGCAGGGAGATGGGAAAGGAATGAGAGAAGAGAACAGAAGAGTCATCAAGTATATCTTTCATTCATGGATAGACACAGATATGATATAGGCATTTATGTATGGACATAGCTATAGATGTATTTGACATAACACTTCAAGATGGTTGGGTTATGAGTACATGGGTATTTACTTTTCTATACTTCTATATATTCGAAATATTTTATAATACAAACTTCCTTAAAAGAAAATGCATTTTAAAAAAATGAACTAGACACACATCTGTAATTCCAGCAGCTTGGGAGGCTGAGGCAGGAGGATTGCAAGTTCAAAGCCAGCCTCAGCAATTTAGCAAGGCTGTAAGCAACTCAGCAAGACCTTGTCTCAAATGAAAAATAAAAAAGGGCTGGGGATGTGGCTCAGTGGTTAAGTGCCCCCTGGGTTCAATCCTGGTACCAAAAAAAA